TAAAGAACTTTAGCTTTCCTTGTGTTATTAGTTTTACTTACCGGTTACCTGCGAGTAAAAGAACTAGAACGTAAGTTGCCAAGTAGGTTAAGGCAATACTAGTTTTAAGCTCGTTTGTTTTCTTTTATGTATATGTATCACTAGACAATATATAACCAATCCTGGGTAACAGGAATTATTGTTAGGAGTATTTATGTTTTTGTAGTTAAACGTAACAAAACACCCTTTTGGCATTAAAGGAGTTACGTTGGCCGAGAAAAAGGAAAAAGGGCCAAAGTTAGTTTTAAGATTATTTTTATTTCTTATACTATTCCTTGTTTCGTTCTTGTTTGAGAAAACCTTGTTTTAAGCGTTAACTACGTATATGTTTTATTTTGTGTAAGAGCCTATAGGTGTAAGACAGAGGCCGTGTTTTGATAGTTAGCGTTTTTTCTTTAAGTTTAGTTTGTGCGAGTAGCCGTCACGGAGGTGAAATAAGCGGAACCCGGGTCTAGGCTGTGAGTGCGCAAGGTACCTGGTGTTAGTAGAGTGGTTGAGCGAAAAAGTTGGTGTTAAGGAAAAGTACCTGGTAAACAACAGTCTGATAGCTACAACGGAACCAAACGTTGTGAAATAAAACGTTATTTGAAGTTTGTAAAATTTTTTGTAAGATTAAGATTAAGAAAAAATTTTATTGTTGTTAGGACCATGGACCGTTGTAGAAACGAGCCATGATAAAATTTTTGCTTAATCGGCAATTTTTGGTAATTTGTTTAATTAACAAATTATGTGGTCAGACAATTGTTCGCCAGTGTCAGGAGACTCTGAAAGTACTAAGGCGTTTGCTTATTTCGCGCCCGGGGAGAATTTTTTGTTCTAGGGAATTTAATTCACGAACGTACCTTAAGGCACGGCACTCATGGATCACTGTGAGTAGTGACCTTAAGGCCGAGAAGACGCGGCAACCATCTTAGCTAGTCAGTCGATCTACGAAAATCGTGCGGAACGGATGCTAATTCCTTAAAGCGTGCGAATAACAAATTTTCGGCGACTCGTGTGTTCACTAACAACCATATAGTGATAAACAAAATACTCAGGCACAGTGATAAGTGTTGTGGTAATCAATATTAAAAGATTATATATATATATATATATACTCGAAATAAACGTTTAGTTTATTGCAAGTGTGAGTGCACTTGTGCAACCTACCGTTTCCAGTCATCCCGAGGGTCGAAACATCCCCATAGACGGAGGGAAGGAGGTTACCCTTGTTGCTTGGAGGACAAAGCAACTGGCGACCGAGATAAACAGTTCATACGGTAAGTCCTTGACTATTTTTGCGCCTAACCCCGGTCACAATGAAGGGGCTTGTCTTGTCGGCGTCCGTGACGCCATTTTATACACGTGTTCGTCTTTGTCCAATTCTCATAACAAAATAACGGCCCACAATCCATGATTACCTATCTTCGGAGACATTGACTTAAGTAGTAGGTCGTTAAACACAAAAGTGGCGACCGTGACAGGATTTCGCTATATCCCTAATTAGGATTAAAAATAATTGTGGAATAAAAACCGTTAGAGAATCAACATCGGCGGCCATCTTGTGTAGCTGAACAGGTCGAGGCAAGTTTGGAACGACGCAGCGAAATCAACTGCGAATAATTAAGACGGTTTAACAATAAAGTGTTAATCGGCGAGTGTTAGAAAATAGAATTTTTGTTAAAAAGTTGCAAAAATAAGAACTTTAATGAAAACTTTTTGGTTCCGCGACTTTTGCGCATTCAATCTACACCACCTAAGGATTGCAAAATTATTGTTTATGTAACAATTAAAACTACGCATGATTAAGGGAAATTTTTTGCATAAACAGGTCAATTACAACATTGTCCGCAAGAATCCAACGCGTTTGTTTTAAAATTAAGTTGCAAAATTAAACCGTTAGTGTTACAGAAAAACAAAGTATATGGCTAAAGTCTGTATGCTTAGTTAACAAATACCGGATAATAAAATTTGCTTAACTAATTTGTTTAACAAATTTCGGTATAAAATAAAAGTTGAGATTAAGGAGTGAAATATATCCTAAACAACTCTAATACCCTAGTTAACAAAATTCAGGGGTCAAGTTTTTGTTAATTGTTAACTTAACTAGTTACTTAACAAATAGAATTACTTGTAAACTAGAAGTCCGAGAGACATAAGACTTGGTATACAACTTGAGGGGATACTAAGCTATAATATCCGGAAGAGAAAACCGGAAGTTGTCGACCATTTTTTCCGAAACCGGAAGTGGTCAGTTAAGGCAAACAAACTATATAGAAGCATTCTACTGAGACATTAGAAATTTCTGGTAGTGAAATTAATGCTTAATTTTTTAAAAAATTTTACTCCTGTAAATAAGTCACTAAACCGGAAGTAGTCAACTCTAAACAGAATAGTCGTGTTTTTGTGCTTTATTAAATTCGTTAAACGATTTCAACATTAGTAATCACAATTTTATAGATTAATGGTTGCTTTCTTTTCGAAACGTGGTATACGGGATGTTAATAATACTTATAGAATTTACTTACCTGTTAAGAGTCCAAAACGTCATAAAGACTAAGGTAGCAGCTCGATATATCTGAAAAGGATAAAAGAAATTATTAAATAATTCATTAAAAATTTTATCTAAGATAGAACGATTAGTTAAAATAAACGTTAAGACTTGAAAAGTTACTTACCGGTGATAGTTAAGTCACTAAAACCTGAAAATAAAAAGAAAATTTATTAGTAAGGATAAACAAAATAAATACCGTAATTAGCTACTTTAGGCAACAATGGCCACTGTAAGAACCCCAAATGACCTTAAGGGTAAAATTGAGACTGCAATGTCCGATGACGAAACAATCCGGACTAGGAGGATAACACAAACTAGCCTAGTAAGCGAGAATTTACTAGACACGACATTCGAGACGCAAGCTCGAGAGACACGAAGTATGACTAATAAAAAAAAACTGATGGGAGCGATCCCAAAAGTTAAAAGCAGTTTGGCGTACGAAATCTTTATCACAACCGAACTCAATCGAAATAAGCCATTAGAACAAACCCCTATGCTGGCTATGCAGGAAATGTTAACCAGTTTCCAAGAACAGATGTCGATGATTGTGGATAGGCTTAACCGAATTGAAATGAGGGAACAGGGAGAGCCTAAAACTGAGGTCTTAGACCACGAGCATAATAAGAGCTTTTCTAGCTACAAAAGTGAAGCTGGAGCGGAAGCCAATCCAATTCAAACACAGAATTCGAATAAGGAAGCGATAGAGGGTAATTTACAAGTCATGCCGTATATACCATTAAACGCCAGAATTCCACATGGGGGTTACTTAATGAATCCATTTGGCGACGTAAAATTTAAAGGCAAAGACACGGGACTAAACCTTATGACTTTTCTGAGAAGAATCGATCGTGTTGTTCTGCGAGAACAAATGAATTCAGACGACGTGTTATTTTACTTACCACAGAATTTGACCGGAACGGCGGCAAATTGGTACGACTCACTAGACGTCGAAACTTATGAAGAGTTCAAAACCCAGTTCATTCAAAGATTCTGGAGTCAAGCGACCCAATCTCGAATAAGGGGTAAATTGTATCGCGATAAGTACGATCCGTCAAAAGGACAGTCAATGGCGGGTTATGCTCGAGAATTGTTTAGCGCGACAAAGATGTTAAACCCACCAGTGTCGGATGAGGAGTTCATAACAGCTATTACGGCGCATTTTGATTTCGAAACCTCGAGAACAATCAGGCCTGGGGTTATTACATCGCTGGAAGCATTAATTGCTTACCTGACGCACGCTGACAACGAACGAGAACGCAAAAACAGATTTAAGGGATATGCTGGTAAAAGTTCAATTGGCAGGGGACAGAATACCCCAAAGTATACCCAAGACTACGCTAAAAAAAAGAAATTACGGCAGAGACCGTGTACCGTCCAGGGACAGGTACAGTAAACGTCCCAAAGATGAGTCTAATTCTAGGGCAAACAGTAAAAAAGATCCGGAACCTAAAATCGAGTTACCACCGAGTAGCGGAAGTAATGATGAACGAGGAACACAAACTAAAAAGCCTGATCGATCTCGGAGTCATAATAAGACGCGTATCACCGAGGTTAAGGAAAGGATCCCGTTCAAACCAAAAGCTAGAGCGAAAGTGTTGGCGATAAAGGATAAAACGGACACTAGTAGTTCAGACGTAACATTAAGTCTTTTGAGAACGGGAGAAATACTTCGAGACTTGGATGATTTTGAAAACCAGGAGCAAAATAAAACTCGCAATCGGGTTAGCTTTAAGATAGTGATTAAAGTCGGTCCTAAGCAGTTAAAAGCCTTAGTAGACACGGGAGCTCAAATCAATGCCATGTCGAAAAGCACGTTCGATGAATTGACTAGTGAAGGTGTCGAACTGACTACAATCCCAATAAACCGCTTCACGGTAAGAGGCGCGTTTACGGATAAGGGGGAACCAGTAGCGTTCAAAACTGCACTAGATGTGCAAATAAATAACAAGGTCTATGTAGTGGAATTCTACATTATGAAAAAATTGGCCTACGATTTAATTATCGGAATGGAATTTCTCGCGAGACACAGAGCAATTATAAACTGTACTGGAGAAAATGTGCAGCTCTCTCTGGAGGAAAGCGCTAGAATAGCGGCAATCAAACGTCTTTCCAGAGAGGAGGCGGAAGCACGAGTAGCAGACATTATAGCCTCTAATAGCGAGTTATTTGAAGAAGGCATCGGGTGTGTTAACCATTACACACAAAATAAAAATGGCAACAAAGGTCCCTTTTAAAGCGAAAACATACCCAATCCCAGAAGTTCATAGAGACGCGGTAACAAAATACAACGAGTTGGAGGAGATGGGAATCGTCCAACGTGCGCCCACTCAGTATATCAACCCGTTGGTAGCCGTTGTAAAGAAGAACGGAAAAATACGGTTATGCTTAGACGCAAGGGAACTGAACAAGAGGATGAAAAACGACCACTCCCAACCGCCTTCGATAGAGGAGGTATTTCAGAGAATAGGGCACAGAAAGTTTTTTACAACTCTAGACGTGACCCAAGCCTTTTCAAATCCCACTGAGTGAGGAAAGCCGCAAGTATACCGGATTCGTGGTTAACAACCAGACATACGTGTTTAATCGGTTACCCTTTGGGTTGAAGACGTCAGGCTCATCATTCGCCAGAGCGATGAATTTAGCCTTAAACGACCAAAACTTAGACTTTCTAATAGTCTATCTAGACGACATCTTGATTGCGTCTAACTCCTTAGAGGAGCATATGGAACATTTGGAGTATGTTCTAAACAAATTAAAACAGGCCGGATTTCGACTTAATCTGGACAAATGCGAGTGGTTACAGAGAGAGGTCACCTTTTTAGGCCATACCTTTTCTGAAGTAAAAGCTTCGATGAATCAGGAAACGCGCGATGCTGTTTCTAGGTTTGAAAAACCAAAGACAAAGAAACACCTACAGTCATTCCTGGGGCTGATAAACTGGGACAGAAGGTTTATCAAAAACATGGCGAGAATGACCAAACCTCTCGAAAAGTTGTTGCAAAAAGACGTCAAGTTTGTCTGGACTGACGAGCAGCAAAAAGCCTTTGACGATATAAAAACAGCGTTTAGGGAGGCAGAAGATCTATTCCTGCTGCGCAAAGGCTACAATTTCGGAATAAGCATGCTTCAACAACGGGTCTCGGGGCTAGAATGTTTCAGTATACCGACAAAGCACCCGAACAGCATTTCACAATTGCTTACGCTAGCCGTAGTTTAAAGGGGGCAGAGACCAATTATACCATAACGGAGCTGGAATGCCTAGCGCTCGTATGGGCACTTAAAAAATGGCATACAGTCCTTATGGGTCACAAGGTTAAGGTATACACCGATCACAGAGCCTTGAAGTTCTTAAGCTTCTGTACGGAAAATAGCGGCCGAATAGCTCGATGGTTCGAGTTCCTACAAGAATTCGATCTCGAAGTAGAACACATACCGGGCAAGCAAAACATAATAGCCGACGCGTTATCCCGAAGCTTTGCCGAAACTCAGGTTAAGGCTCAGCAAAACAAAACCAAGTATATCGCTTTGATTAATTCACCTCGCGATGGGCAAGACATATCGCAATGGGCGGACCTAATTCGCGAAGCCCAACAAAGAAGCGAAGTCTTACAAGAGAAAAAACTAAATAATCCCGATATATATCACGAAAGACATGGTATCATACGAAAATGGACGGCAGTGGGTGAAAGGATACCTATATCGGAAGAGTTCGCGTGGGAATTAACCAATCTTATTCACCGCTACCTGCTCCATTTTGGTACCGACAAAGTGTTGTTTTATATAGCTAGGTACTTTTACATAAAAAAGGCCGAAAAAATAGTTAGGGATGTAGTCACGTCTTGTCACATATGCCTAGCGACTAAGTATTATACGAGGGCCACGGTAGGACAATATTACTACGAGGTTCCAAGAAAACCCAAAAAGACGGTATCTATGGATCTGTATGGTCCGTTACCGCAAACCCCGCAAGGGAATAAGTACATTTTAGTGTTGTCGGATCATTTCTCAAAACTTGTTAAACTGTATCCGATTAAGAACCAAAAAGTGGACACTATATGTGACACGTTGCGCGAGAAATATTTAACCGAAGTAGGAACTCCCGAGGAAATCCTCACCGATAAGGGAGGCCAATTCGGGTCTAAACGGTGAAAGGCGTTTGGTCAAGGACAGGGTTTCGAGACTAGACATACGTCTCCCTACAACCCGCAATCTAACCCTGTAAAAAGGGTAATGCGGGAAATTAACCATGTAATCAGAGCGTACGCGCATGGAAGGCACACCAGATGGGATGAAATCATTCCACGCCTAGTGTTACGTCCTGACCTACGGTTACGATCGGGTCCTAACGGAGGAACGCAACTTGACACACGACACTTTTGTGTATTATATCTCGGCACACTGACCTAATGAGATAAGGCAAGCATGCGAGTCGAGNGAGACTGTTCAACGACGTAGTCAAGTCAACGGACTTCCCGATATTACTTGTCTAACGTCTTCTCACTCGTCGGTCCTCTTTTAGGTCTTAGAAACAAATCTAATTTACCTGGGACAGGACCTGGCGATCACGTGACGAGATTACAGGAATGAGTTTTCAGGATAGATGTTCAAAAGTTCATTTAATTAGTTAAAGCCGTTTCATTTTTATGAGTATATAAGTCATTTTTATTCAAAATATTAACATTTAGATTTATTCAAAAAATATATTCTTACGCAAGTTGAATTAAATAATTGGACGTGTGATGAAGTTCGGTGCGAATTTGAGTATACATTGGCATTGTTATTATTTTTAATCCTGGGAGTTCGTTATTAACATTACTGTTAGTATTTTCAATATTTTAAATCCTTATGTAAATGAGCACCGTCACTATTTAGGCTATTACCGGATAGACGGGGGTTGGTATGCTTCGGTCCGCTCGCTCGACGGGCAGCGGTTCTCCGCCGCAAGGTTCGGTTTAAATATCGCGTTGTTAGAATCACGGTTGATTTTCGGAGCGGTATGACAACCACATACGATTCGCTACTGCTCAAAGTTTGACAGTGGTGATTGGAAATCGGCAGCGGTTCAGAACAACTGACGTCGTGAGCTGCTAATCCGACAGGAACAAAAAGTCAGCAGCGGCTCGGAACGACAACCAAAGTCGTGAGTCGCTAATCTGACAGAAACGAAAAGTCAGCAGCGGCTCGGAACGACAACCAAGGTCGTGAGTTGGTTACGGTAGAATGTCGAGATGAGTGGTTGATTCGCTTTGCCCAAAAGTCAGGAGTCTGTCGGCTGGACTCAGGTGGAATGAATTGGTCGTCTCCTCTGATGGAAGTTGTCACGAGTCGCACTGTTCACTCGGATTTACGTGCCGAGATCGATATCAAATTAAGAATCGTTTGGATTGTCGAATTCCAGACCGAATAGGAAAAGCGAGTATCTTTTTGTACGACCGAATTGACTCTAAGTTAAATTGTTGAATCGCACGAGAAGAAATAGAACTGTGTTAATAATCGTAATGCTGGTTATGAAGCTCCGACTCTCCGGTGTTCCAACGCCTTATATATGGTGATCTCGGGGCGTAAACCCTTCTGATTTTTGCCAATCGTCTTTAGATTTTACTCTCCCACTCTTTACTGATTAAAATTCCGATCTTTCATTTGCTAATCCGATCAGGCGAGAGGACCAATCATCGACAATCATTCCTTCTGATTCGCTCAACATTTGTTTAAAGTTTGTTATCTGCACGTGCAATTTCCTGTTTATTTTCGGTGCCCGAACATTCCNTGCTAGAGATAAGCGGACCGCCTAAATTATCTAAGTTTATATTCGTGAACCAAACATCCGGGCTACTTGTTGATTAATTGACCAATACTCATTTGAAAGTCGGTAANAGTGATTAGATAAAAAATTGCGATACGGATTTTATCTTAGTTCAATAGGTCCTCTGTTCTCTGCTCAAGGATTGTTACTTAAAAATAAATTCTAAGGCGCAAATCTTACAGCTAATTTATGTCTGGTTCCAAACAGAAGGGGACCGTGGAGTTCAGGACGTAACACCTAGAATGGGTGCTAAACTGGACTGAACATAGCAGCACCGGAATTCGTCCGATAGATCTGCATGAAGATCTACAAGACAACGAGGAAGACATCGATCGAGTGCTCAAACCGAAATGGTATGAGGAACTGCAAGGTCCGAAGAAGACTTTCCATGAAAAAATCCGTCTGGCTCGAGGACGGTTACTAGCGAGTCAACAAAAAAGACGGGTGCAAGCGGAGAAGAAGGGCACAGTCTACCAGGTGGGCACAAAGGTGTGGGTTAAACTGCACCGGAGATTAGATAAAACTCGCAGACTTACCAGAAAAATACACCTAGTGTACGAAGGTCCGTATGCGGTTAGGCAGGAGATAAGACCTAACGCGTACTTAATCGAAGACTTGGAGAGACAAACGATAGGAGTCTACAATTCACGACAATTGAGGCCGCACAAAGAACCAGAGTATCGGCGATTGGACTACATCCACACAACTGATGACCACTCTGGCAGCGAAGCTTCAAAAACCACGTCGGCAGTGACGGCGGGCTCGTCGTTGATGACCAAGTCCAACTCCAGCTCGAAGAACCAGAAGAAACCCTGCAAAGATAGAAAAGCAGAAAAACAACCAAAGAAGGTTACTAAACGAACGGGAAAAATAAGGCCACCTATGGGCACTTACCGTCATATTTACGAGAACGATTCCGATCCTGAGGTAGTGGAAAAAATGGAACGTTTTGTGAAAGAAAGAAATCCTTCGGAGGAGATGGTGCGCGGCTACTACGGCACACTCCAGATCCTTAGGAAGTATCGCGAGCCATGGGAAAAAGAATACCTCGAACAAAAAAAGGTGCAACGATCAGTGGATGCTAAAAGATCCCGGAAAAGTATCAAGTACTCACCTAGGTCCAGGAAATCCCGCGACGATCCAAACAGCGACGATGATAACCAACACGTTGAGGAAAGACCTAAAAAGAAGTCAAAGATCCAGCAGCGTGCACGTCCAGGAAAGGGTAAATCCAACAGTGACCTGAAACAAAAAGGAAAAGAGGTTAATACAAAGGCACAGAAAAGACAATATGACTCAATATTCGAAGGCAAATTCGACTCGGACGTGATTCAGACAGTTAGAAACTTTGTCAAAACCAAGAATCCGACGAGATCAGAGGCATTCGCGAAGTACTTAAAGGTCAAATACGCGCCGAAGAAGGAAGAAAGGTTCGTGTGCGCGATGGAAATCGCTGAACTAAGTGATGAAAGTGAAACGGCGACAAGTAGTTCGCAGGACACTATACGTCTCAGTGATATGCCCGAGGGGGAACTCGATGACGATTCCGCGGCGTGCGCGGAAAGAGTCTCCGAGAACTATGCGATAGCTAGTGCGGTTTTAGATAGAGCGTGCGCAAAGCCCGAGATAAACGCGACGATGGTTGGGCATAAAATTAAGTTACTGTTGGACAGCGACGCTAAATGTAATGTGATATCCCATGACTTATGTGAAAGTTTGTTACAGTACCCCGAATCTGTATCCCTTGTGGCTATGTCCGACGTTTCGTCAAGTGACTACGAACCAGCGAGGAGAGAGATTCAGACGAACTTCACTGTGGCTGGAGTCAATCTTCGCGCAAGTTTCATTGTTGTCGAGAACACATCGTTGTTGTCTGCGGCAGTCGGTCGAGACCTGACCAACAAAATAAGAAAATGCGCTAAAATGTGCAGTTTGTTTTCAGGCGCTGAAAATCTCGAAATGGAGGACAAGTATACAACACTCTTGGAAGCAGGACAGATGTCGGACGACTCCGATATAGAGGAAATCTGCCAGAAGATCCAGGAGACGGTCCAAAAAAAGAACGAGGTAAAGGCGCAACGGGACATGTTGAGAGACATGTTAAGAACCAAGCTGGAGCGTGAACGAAGAGAACGCGACAGATATATGGAGGAGTGCGACCGGATTAGAGACATGTTGTCAGCAGAGGGTGCAGCAACACCGGAAACACTATCGGAGTCCTCACCAAGAGCGAAGTCTGACAGCAGTGTGTTGGTTAAGCGCGCGCTGAAGCGTACGCAGACGCCCGTGTCGTGTTCCCGGTCGGAGCCAACCAAGGCGCGGCGCAAGGGGATGATAGACGAACGGAGTTCTTTGGCGTCGATACCGACGACGAGCGGAGGGTCGTGCGAGTCCTCAGTGAAGAAAAGACGGCGTAACCGGGAGGTGTCTCTACTATAGGAGGAAACGTGGCAAAGCGTTGAGTTAGGAGCAAGGACCTGAAACAAAAAACAGGGCTTGCTGGACTTACTAAAGAACTTTAGCTTTCCTTGTGTTATTAGTTTTACTTACCGGTTACCTGCGAGTAAAAGAACTAGAACGTAAGTTGCCAAGTAGGTTAAGGCAATACTAGTTTTAAGCTCGTTTGTTTTCTTTTATGTATATGTATCACTAGACAATATATAACCAATCCTGGGTAACAGGAATTATTGTTAGGAGTATTTATGTTTTTGTAGTAGTTAAACGTAACAAAACACCCTTTTGGCATTAAAGGAGTTACGTTGGCCGAGAAAAAGAAAAAAGGGCCAAAGTTAGTTTTAAGATTATTTTTATTTCTTATACTATTCCTTGTTTCGTTCTTGTTTGAGAAAACCTTGTTTTAAGCGTTAACTACGTATATGTTTTATTTTGTGTAAGAGCCTATAGGTGTAAGACAGAGGCCGTGTTTTGATAGTTAGCGTTTTTTCTTTAAATTTAGTTTGTGCGAGTAGCCGTCACGGAGGTGAAATAAGCGGAACCCGGGTCTAGGCTGTGAGTGCGCAAGGTACCTGGTGTTAGTAGAGTGGTTGAGCGAAAAAGTTGGTGTTAAGGAAAAGTACCTGGTAAACAACAGTCTGATAGCTGCAACGGAACCAAACGTTGTGAAATAAAACGTTATTTGAAGTTTGTAAAATTTTTTGTAAGATTAAGATTAAGAAAAAATTTTATTGTTGTTAGGACCATGGACCGTTGTAGAAACAAGCCATGATAAAATTTTTGCTTAATCGGCAATTTTTGGTAATTTGTTTAATTAACAAATTATGTGGTCAGACAATTGTTCGCCAGTGTCAGGAGACCCTGAAAGTACTAAGGCGTTTGCTTATTTCGCGCCCGAGGAGAATTTTTTGTTCTAGGGAATTTAATTCACGAACGTACCTTAAGGCACGGCACTCATGGATCACTGTGAGTAGTGACCTTAAGGCCGAGAAGACGCGGCAACCATCTTAGCTAGTCAGTCGATCTACGAAAATCGTGCGGAACGGATGCTAATTCCTTAAAGCGTGCGAATAACAAATTTTCGGCGACTCGTGTGTTCACTAACAACCATATAGTGATAAACAAACTACTCAGGCACAGTGATAAGTGTTGTGGTAATCAATATTAAAAGAATATATATATATATATACTCGAAATAAACGTTTAGTTTATTGCAAGTGTGAGTGCACTTGTGCAACCTACCGTTTCCAGTCATCCCGAGAGTCGAAACATCCCCGTAGACGGAGGGAAGGAGGTTACCCTTGTTGCTTGGAGGACAAAGCAACTGGCGACCGAGATAAACAGTTCATACGGTAAGTCCTTGACCATTTTTGCGCCTAACCCCGGTCACAACCTTCCCTGGGGCAAAACTTGCTTGGAGATGCCGACGTCAAAGCATCCGTCACTAAACCAACGAAGGTATTGTAATAAACTTCCATGTCTTCCACTGAGGATGAGAGAGCTCTAATCCTCGCGTCCACGTACTTCCCAGTCTGTACGAACAGAGTGTAACCTGGCGGATCGTCTAGCCGGCAACGGAGTGTCCGGGCGTAGCCCAGAGCACACAAGAACCGGAAAGTGGTCGCTACCTCATGAATCACTGTCCACCTTCCACGAAAGCCGAGGTGCCATCGAGCTGTGGACAAGAGTCAGATCCAAAGCCGAGTACGAACGGTAAGAGTCACTGAAGTAGGTGGGAGACCCGTCGTTCAGCAGGATTAAGTCTGAATCTTGAATTGCTTCCCACAAGGCTTCCTCCACCGGACACGTGCGGGTGGAGCCCCAACCTACATGATGAGCATTGAAGTCTCCTTCAAACAGAACCTTTTTTGTACCAAACTGCGACAAGAACCTTTGCCATTTTTCAACTAACAAGGCCCCCGAACCAGGGGGGCGGTAGCACGCCACCAAGACCAATGGTTCACCTCGCAGAAAGACCTCCACCGCACAAGCCTCAATCTTACCTCCGCAGTTGTATACGCCGGAAACTTTACGATACTTGATTGAGCGGTTGACCAGTATCAGGACTCCTCTTCCTGGACGCCCGATTCTGTCTTCCCTCACCGAGTCGAATCCCTTTACAATAAAGGAGTTCGCAGGAGTGAGCCACGTCTCTGAAATTAAAACAAAATTATAGAACATGCATTTATGAGTCAACTCAGTAAACTTTGGTAAAACCGACTTTGCGTTCCAATGAACAAGGCCGAACGGATCATGCTTAGTCTTTGATCTCTGACTAGACATTGTTAATAGTTACCTAACCTTCTGTACTTGTTAACTTTGTGTGTAAACTAAGAGTATTACTTATGCGCTTGAGCAAGGTGTCAATATTATCCGCTCTCATTATTTGGTCCACCAGCTTGAGCACTTGTTCCTTAACTTCCTCCTCACAAAAACGAGACCCGGGCGGCCACATCCAATTCGACGAACTGGCTGATCTAAAAGCCACCGGAGCGTTAACCAGCTTAACCCCACCACGGCTGGGAAGGGGGGGAAAGTTCTTCAGTGTCTTAACCGGAGCGGTCGTATTCCCAACTCCCTCCGTCCTGAGGACCACTGACCGGGCCTCGAAGAAGGGGAGATTGTCAAACGCCATTACTCTGGAAATTTCTATCTGCCTTTTGAACATGGAGCACGATCGGTCCAGGGCCGCGTGTGTTCCTTTGCAATTGACGCACAGCTTCTCGTTAGGGCATGGATTATCCCTGCCACTCTTGTGGTTGCCCGCACACGTTAAACACCGCGGGTCGTTTTCGCAGAACTTGCTCAAGTGACCGAAACGGCCGCAGTTAAAACACATCCGGACCGCCGGGACGTACGGCTGGATCGGGTTGACCGTGCGCAGAATCATAAGAGTCGCTGGATAAGATTTACCTGCCAGTTCCAAGCACACCGTCTCGGAATCAACCCACTCCCTCGTGGATCTGTTTCGTCTACGAAGTCGGAAAAGCTTCAGCAACATTACATTGGAGTTTTCATCTTCAATAAGTTGTTTCAATTCTTCCAAGGGCATATCCAATGGGATATCTCTCACAAGGACCTTCCTGCTGAGTTTATATCTGGGGATGAACGCATTCATTCCCGCCTCTTTTACATATCTGTTTGTCAAAGAAACGTTGGCCGTTACTTTACACGGGAAAACAGCCTTCCACGTGTCACGGCCGCACCTGTGAACGCTTGTGAATTTCAGGTTAGCTGACGTGAGTTTCTTAGAGATGGTAAGGAGTGAAATTTTCCTCTTCCTCTTCCACAGCCCCTACGTATCAGGGGCTGTTTGAATGCAAAAATGAACAACGAAGGGAGCCTGGGTGAAAGCCTCGTACTTTTGCGGTAAATTATCTCTTACCGTGATAGAGGACGTCCCGGCCTGTGTTAACTGAGAAGCCGGCGTCGAGGCACGACGGGGGCCCTTTGCGTCAGGTGTCTCTACCAACTGAGAGGGTGAGGGTTCCTCACCGTCAGTTCTCCTTTGAGCGACGTGAACACTAGCCGGATCCGACGGCGTCGCCAAGTCAGAAACCATCTTCTTCGTACATTTCTTACTTTTTGCTGCGGTCATTCTTGAACTTCGGACAGCCTCCTCGTCCGTGGAAGGATGAGGCCGCTTCAAACTTACACCACTTGACGTCTCTATTTCCATTTCCGAGGACGGCGAAGCCGACCTCGGTCCAGCAGTCACGTTATCCATGAGGAATAAGCGCAAGTCGTTGCCTATTTCCTCATATGCCGGGGAAGGCGGGACCCCGCCATCCGGCCGATCGTCTCTTGATAGGTTAACTGAGGACAGGGTTGTGTCTCACACGCAAAACCACCGGATAACCCGGATAAACAGTACTGAGTCACTCCCGGGAGCGACGGAGGACCCCGCTGGGGAGGAAAGAGCCAAGAGAACGCACGGAAACACCACCGAGGAAGCACAAAATTCGCTCAAACACAGGAGAATGCGGGAAAACGTGTTCCCGCCCGAATTGCGCCACCGGAAGTCCCACCATATATATAATACTTCTATATTGGTAGTACGGTGCCGACCTGAAGTCCAAATGTTACGGTGCAGACAATATAGTAGCCTCTCTCTCCAGCTGCTTTGTGCGCATGCGGTGAACATTCAAGCACGTTTGAGCATTTCTCTTTCTCGCGTTCTTTCCAATGCTTCGTCTCGCTCGCACTCGCTTAGTAGACGCGTCTGCGCATGACGCTCGACTATCTATGCCCATATTTGGACTTCGTGCGTCTCCCTTTCTCGGGCCTCGTGCTTCTCATTGCGAAGATACGCGACTAGCCACGGCTGATTAATACGCATCAACGTCAAATAATACTACTCTCAATGTGTTGAAATAATACCACTCTCATCAAATAGTTAGCAGCACTAGTGGCCCATATAAATATGGCTGAAGGTTGTTTAGAGGTCAAACCCCCCCTCCCTCCCGCACCATGGCTTTACTCCCCTCGCCTATAATATTTCTTAATGCTTCTTCTTTTATCTCCATGTTTGCCATGTTAAGAAATTGTCTTCAGCGTTGAGAGAGACAGCTGGTGTTGAACAGTAGTCTCATCTTTGTCTAGCAAAGTAGTGGGGGAAAAAGAAGTCTTCGCTGATTGATAGAATAGTAGTGGAAAAGTGGGGATAGAAAAATAGTGGAGGTGAAGAAGAGTGAAAGAGATTAAGGGGTGATGGTAGGTTAGATGGTATGAAACAGTAGGTCCTGATCCCACCACAGACATTGATAGACAGAGAAAGAGTTACTATTCAAAGTATGTTGTCTCTCTCAACGTTGAAGACATCTTTTCAGCCAAACGCGCAGTCTATATATTATACGTCTATGGTTGCGATCTTGACGAAGTTGATTGATTTGTGCTGAGACTGCGCAAAAGGCAACTTCGTTCGTCCTGTGCTAACCAGTCCTATTCAGTTTTTTGTTGATTGAGAGCAAACCAAACAGGTAAACTTAAACGTTTCTACCCATTTGGATAGAGTAATCCAAAGGGCAGTACGTTCTGTACTTTCAAACTGTCGTTTTCACGACATCTTTCCAGTCGAGTGTCGGCTGGCCATAACGGTCAAGATCTGTCGCCATTTTGGCTACAAGTCTTACAGTCGTACGTGTGCCGCGGTTCACTTGGTAGCGCTTAGAAACTTTGTTAAGTTCTAGGTCGCCCGGTTAATCGGTCAGTAAGTGCTCCCCTTATGTTCTGTTGCTGTTGCCGCGTTATTTTGTGTTGTCCTGATAGGTTAGGAGTCGCGGTATGGCGTCTCAGTTATCGCAAGTAGAAAAGGATGTGAAGAGGAGGGAGGCCCGTTTTGTGGCTTCTTCTCCTCTGAGAAGGGAGAAAAGACACGTGTGGGTACTGGCAGTGGTGTAGCCAGTCCTGGAGGTGTGTCGGTTGTAGATAGTATAGCTCAGAAGATGGGATTAAGGACGTTGTAGCGCGACGTTGTAGTCCGATGCAAAAGTTTTATGTCTGAGTATAGGTTAGGAAACCCTACTTTTAGCCATATATGTGATACTTCTATATTGCTCGCTTCGTATACTTTTCATAAGCGGTTTCTACGCCGATGAAATGAGACAGACGATAGATGTATTGACTGTTTTGCGCATGCTCAAGATTCCGAGTTAGGGGAGTAGGCTGCGTAGCATATATACTGCGCAAACTTTACAAAGAAAGGTTAGTGCTGGTTAGTACCGGATACTTTTTTTATAAGACTTACCCATGTATTTTGAAATATGGTCTTCTCTTGACGGCTTGCAATTGCATAAATAACATTTTTTTCTATTCGACATTTCTAACCATACATATTGCCACGTAGCTTTGCTTCAGCTATATATAATATGGTTTCTGCGCATCAGAGTTGCAAGATCGAGCAGAGAGCAACGAGAGATCAAAGCGGTGGGAGTACGCACACAAGCAAGAACTGCCACCCGTGTGCGCACACGGAGGGCGGTTCTCGCTTGTGTGCGTGTCTCCACCGCTTCGATCTCTCGTTGCTCTCTGCTCGATCTTGCAACTCTGCTGTGCATCCCCATGGCATCCCCACTAACCCCCACTCTCACGATTCAGTGCATGCGCAGAACGCACATTTCCTCTAACAGAGTGAGGAAACGATATCG